TGATGAGTGCATTGTTTCACACTATTTCTTTCTGTTAAGGGGACCCTGACCTAAGGGGATAAGGCTCGTCTTCGCTGGTTCCTGGTGATTAGTTTTGTACTGTTTTGTTGTTTTGGGTTTGGACACCAAGAGCCGAGCGTTTCCTGGAGCTGGAAGATGTGGATCTCCTCCAGGAGGTGGGAGAACCTCAGCCGTCTCCGCCTGAACTCACCTGCAGCTTCACCTGAACGAGGTTTCACATCTTTCACACACAAAAGGAAACCCGACGTGAGAGAAGTTCTGGTGTCACACGGACGACAGAACCTGAACAGAGACTAAACAGGCAGGCCCGTGGGCGTCAGTGTGTCCCGTGTCTGACTGTGACACGTCTCAGAGCCCTGGGTTCTGTAGACCGGACCTCCTCCTCCATCGCCTCAGCAACAGCAGAGCTGAAAATCCTCCCCCAGAACAAACTAAACCTTTAATGAAGTCTACAGCGGTGAAGCTGCTCAAAGCTCAGCAGCAGAATGTGTGAAGCACCCGGTCCTCTAACAGAACACATGGACAGAAGATCAAACCGTGAAGGCTTCAGCTCGTCCTTTCAGCTGACGGTCAAACTGCTTCTCGCCATGCGGCCACCAAAGAGCCTGAGGAGGTTCAGGACCTCCAGCCACAGCTCAGGAGTTTCAGACTAACTGGTGTTTCTTTAACTGGGTGGCTAATTTAGCTAAGCTAGCTCTGTGTGTGTGGTTGGTAAGGGCTGTTTGAGCATGTGCTGAACTACCCACTGCCCCCCTCATCCCTGTTCACCACTGATTGATTACTGATCGATAACCTGCTGGACTCTGGGCCCAGGCGCCGTTTAAAGTTTAAAGATGCTAGCAGCAGGTCGGCGTGTTCTCCGACACCAGCGGACCCTCATGTACCCACAGATGCAGAAAGCACCAGCCTAAAAGCCCGCCCCAGCACCTGGACCGAGACACTAAGTTCTACTCTGGGTCAAAGGGGTCTGGTGGAGCCGTGAGCCCGCCGTCCTGCCTCCAGGTCATTCATCCAACCCCAGGGACGCCCGAGAATCAAACCTTTCACCGTCATCCAGACCTCCTCCTCCACCAGACGTACCGCTGACCCGCTACAGCCCCTCATGCAGCACTCCAACCCCACCGACATGCACACCAGTGACGAGCAGAGAGAAGCTCGGTGATGAACGCGGTTCATCTGGTTTCCAGAGTCAGTGTTTATTGAACACAAAACAAAAAGGACTAAATATATGTTGCTGATTTGATAACAAACGTCCAGAACCACACATCACTGCGTCAGAGCCAGGCGGGTTTCAGGATCTGTTGGTTGTTGCTGGATGTTCGGGCCTGGGTCAGCCTGTGGACGGCTCTCCTCCTTCAGCAGGGTTCAAACAAACGTTCATCTTCTTGCAGCTCTGCTTGGCAGCAGCAGCCTTCACTAGCTCTGTGTGGTCTCACAGGTCCAAAGAAAGCGGCTCGCATCTCGAGCTTACGATAGCTGCTTCATGTCGTACATCGGCACCTCGGACTCCTCGGCCTTGCCCTCGTCGGCGGCGGCCCTGGCGGCACCCGGGCTGCCCTTGCGGCCCTTCGGAGGCGGGACGGGCAGGGCTCCCTCGGCGGCGCCCTCGGCTCCCTCCTGGCCCTCCGCCACAGTCCTCTCCTTCTTCAGGTTCAGTTTGGCCGGGACGCTCTTGGTGATGGTCTCCTTCAGGCGCTCCCCGGACTGCTTCAGCCTCTCGCCGGACTGGCGGATCTTCTCGCGCCTCTCGGCCGTCACGATGCGCTCCCCCAGCTTGTTGACTTTGGTTCCCAGGTTCTCGCGGGTCTTGCTCATGTTCTCCTTGGAGAAGGTGGCCTTGAAGCTCTCGATGCGCGTCAGCCCCGTCTTCTTCATGCGGCCGGCTGACGAGGAGTCGGCCTCCTCCACCACCATGTACTCCTCATCCGACTCCGGAGGCAGCTCGAACTTGTCCGGTTCCACCTCGGCTCTGCTGCCGGCGCCGCCGCTGGCTTCGGCCGGCTCGCTGCCCGGAGAGACGGCTTTCACCTCCTGGTCGCCCTGAGGGAGCAGAGAGCAGAGTGAGGCCTTCATCAGCTGTGAATCGGACTCCTCGTGTCAAGTCCACTCATGAATTAAAAAACAGGAGTTGAACCAAAGTTCTGCACCATAAAACAGAAACCTTCAGGACGGTAAAACTAAAGCACATGAACCATGAAACCGAGCGGTGATGTTTTCTGAACCATCAGCTCCACACAGGCTGAACATGGAGAACATCTGTGACTGCTCACACACGGTTCTGAGTCAGACTTTCTGGTTTCGTCTCTATGTTGTTGTTCAGACAGACTCACATTTCGGTTTTTTAATTTTTATTCAGAAGCTCGTGAAGGATTTGATCTGAATGTAATCTGTCACAAACACCTTCTTAAATCGTTTTAGATGAGAGGAGCTCGAGCAGAAGGACGCGATGATCTGAGACAGAAAAACACTTCAGTGAACTCAGAGTGAAGAAGAATGAAGCCATCGGTCTGATTTCATGACCTTCAGCTCTAAACAGACGTGCAGGAGTTTCAGTGACAGCATGAAGCTGATGCGACGCGTGAACATAAACCGTGTTGATCTACACGAGGACGTCAGGCTTTGGGCTGCGGTAGACTCCAGTGTTTGTGCTGTCGGCCGGAGTGTGGCTGTGATGTCAGGGTTAAAAGTGTCTCTGCTGGAAGTGTGTCATGCAGCCGTTAGCGGTTAGCGTGCAGGCCTTGATCCTGCTCCATAAATAACCTGCAGCACCTGTTTCCGCGGCTCAGCGCTCGGCTGCAGGGCGCTAAACTTATCAGCGAGCAGCGGCGCTGGATCGCTTTCAGCTGCGAGCGTCTGCGGCCCCACCGACACTCGTGAGTCGCTCAGGGAAGGTGGACCCCGACCAGACGGTGTCCAGCCGGTCGGACTGGGACCAGAAGCAGACGCACCAGAGGCCCGAAGCGTTCCTCACACATCCAGAGACAACAAACACAAGAACCCCGACGTCACCTGTCCAGTCTGTAACGTTCAGAACCCATAGAAACAGTGAAAACAACGTCAGTATGTTCAGTCTGTGTGGACACAGCGTCATGCCCGGAGTTATCGGTCACTGGTTCATGTCTGTTAGACCTTTTTCAGTAGCTTCACCAGATCCTATCTGTCAGTCAGTGAAATCACAGTGAACCATGTTGTGGCTGTTCCGGACCAGCCAGCCGTCTGGACACACCTTCTCATTCACTGGCCTTTATTTACTTCAGTTATCTCCTACGTTGTAGATCCATGCTGAAGACATCAGAACTGTGAGAGAACATGGAGTCATCCAGTAAACAGGAAGTGTTGAACCAACCAGAACACGTTTATCTTCTGCTCTGACCACAGCGTTACCCTCTCGCCATCAGGGCGTCTCCTGGACGCTGCTGAATGAACAGCTCTGCCTCGTCAGCAGTCAGTTGCCTACTTCATGTGTCTGAGAGCATCGGTGGGGCTGTAGGTGGGCCTGGTCCACAGTGACTGCTGCTGTAGTCCATGGTACGGCAGGAACCTCCACAGTCCATCATGAAGACATGGAGGTCAGTCGATACGGAAAATCTCAAGAACTTTGAGTGTCTGACAAGGAGCGCCCAGGACAGGAAGACCAGAAGCTACGATAGGTTCATTAGAGTCACCAGCCTCAGAAACCACGAGTCAAAGGCTCCTCGGGTCAGAGAACACATCAGCTCTCCAGAGGTCAAGATCTCCACATCAGCTGCTCAGAGGAGGCTGCGTGAATCAGACCTTCATGGTGGAACTGAGCAAAGAAGCCACCACTGAGGATAAGGAGGAGAGAACTTTCTGGTCCAAGAAACACGAGGAGTGGACAGTAGACCAGCTGTGGTCTGATGAGTCCAGATGTGGGATCTTTGGTTCCAGCCATCGTGTCTTTGTGAGACCAGAGAAGGTGAGCGATGGTTTCTGCATGTGCGGTTCCACCGTGAAGCCTGGAGGAGGAGCTAGGATGGTGTGGGGGGGCTTTGCTGCTCACACTGTTGGTGATTTATTCATAAGTCAAGGCTCATTAACCAGCATGGCTACCACAGCATCCTGCAGCGCCGTGCCATCCCATCTGGGTTACTGGGACCATCACTAGTTTCCAACCAGACAATGAGCCCAACACACCTCCAGGCTCTGAGTGCTGCTCAGATGACCTGGCCTCCACTATCCTCCACTATCAGCCCACCTAAACCCATCCAGGAGACGAGCTCATGATGCCCACTGAGAGAACGACGAATCAAAATCCAGGTTACAGAATGTTTCCCACAGCAGCCAATCAAAACAGGTCATTCATTTAAAGGACAGAATGAAACACAACAGGACGCCTAAACCTACCGCGAGCTAAAACCAGGACAATAAATACATACTGGGACCAGTTAGAGAGACGAAATCATACTGGGACCAG